CTCTTCACTCTCACTCTCCTCACCCTCACTCTCCTCTGTACCATTGTCCTCACTACTACTCGCACTCCCACGTGCCCCACGGCCCAGCGCCCCTCCGAACAGGGTCTGCAGCAGCCTCAGCTGCGCCATGGACGGCTCACCCTCCCCACGCTGCCCTCCCCACCCCTCCTCGCCTTCCCCCTCGCCCTCCCCATTCGCCCCCCCAATTTCCTCTCCTCCCCACCCATCCTCTTCCTCATCCTCCTCATCCTCCTCCCCCTCCTCCCCCTCCTCCCCCTCCTCCCCCTCATCCATGTCAGAGTCACTCGCGCTCTCCCCACCATCCGAGGCCATCGCAGCAAGACTATCCATATCCACATGCCCATCCGCATGCCCATCGATATGCATCTGCCACAGGTGCCACAGAGGCGTCTCATCCTCCTCGCTCTCCTCACTCTCCTCACTCTCCTCACTCTCCTCGCTCCACCCATCCCCACCCTCCGCAATCTCACCCTCCTCCCTTCCTCCATCGTCCTCCTCCTGCTCCTCCTCCATCCTATCCTCCCCACCCTGCACTGCCATCATCACCGCTCTCCACTCTCCCCCTCCCCCGCTCTCCCCATCGCCTGCCTCCACGCTCTCCCCCTCAACCCACCGGGCCCCCTCCTCACCCCTCTCCTCCTCCTCACCTGCATGCCTCCCTCTGTACGTCTCCCCTCCCTCCGCCCTGCTCCCATCCGCCCCCGCACCACTCCCCTGCTGCCCCACCACCCCCTCGCGCCCCTCTCCTCCTGCCGCTGCCAGCACTGCCATCACGGCGCTCACAGCGTGCACGGCCCCGCCTGTCACAGCAGCGTGCAGCCCGGCTGCAGTGCCCGCCACCTCAGAAAGCACCTCCACCAGTGCGGCCTGCTGCCGCACCACCCCCACCCGCTCCCTCCACCCCTGCTGCTCCTGCTCCTGCACCAGCTGCTGCTGCATCCTCTCCCCCTCCCATCCTGTGCCCTGCTCTTGCTCCAGCCCCTCCATTCCCCCCACCCGCCCCACCCGCTCCGTCCGCCTCACCGTGCCCCTCAGCGCCCGCACCACCTCCCCCACCACTGCCCGCGCGCCCTCCCCCTCACCACCACCTCCCTCCTCGCGCCCCCCCTGCCCCTGGCCACAGCGCGCCAGCAGCAGCAGCACCTCCCGCGCCACCTGCTGCCTGCGCGTGTTGAGTGCGGGCAGCAGCTCGGAGGCGGGCGGGGGGGCAGAGCAAGGCGGAGAAGCGTGGATCAAGGGGGAGAGGGGAGGAAGGAGGAAGGGAGCAGGGGGTGGGAGGGTGGAGTGAGAAGGGGAGTCGCAGGGGAGGGCAGCGGAGGCGCGGAGCAGCATGGTGAGGAGGAGAGGGGCGGTGGCGGCGGGCAGGAGGGGGAGCGGTGGGTCAGTGTGGCAGGCGAGCAGACCCACCGCTGTGGCTGCTGTGAGCTGCGCCAGTAGCATGCGGGGCAGGTGGTTGAGGGGCGGGGTGTGATGGGCGGAGCGGAGCGTGCAACGAGGGGAGCGAGGAGGAGTGGGTGTGTGGGTGGGAGACAGCGGGTGAGGCGGGGTGACGCTGCTGTCCTTCCCTCTCCTCACCCTCTTCTCCCCCACTACCCCCCCACACCACTCGCCCTCTCCACCTCGCTCCTCGCCCCCCCAATCCCCTTCCCCCCCCCTCTTACCTGCATCACCCCTCCCTGTTCCCAGCAACTCTCCCTCCCCATCCCCCCCCACCCATCCCCCCCCAGGGCTCCTCTCCCCCGCCAGAGCGTCCCCCAGCAGCGTCAGCAGCGCCTGCACGCCCCCCGCCTGCACCATGCCCCTCCGCGCCCGCCGCTGTCCCGCCATGCCCGCCAGCGCGTGCGCTCCCCACACCCTCACCGCTGCCACCGCTGCCACTGCACCGTGGGAGGACCGTGGGACCGGCCGCACGGCGGCACAGGCAGGCACGCACGCACATGTGCACTCACACATGCACTCGCTGCTGCCCCTTCCATGCACACCATCCCCCCTCTCTGCGCCATCCCATGTACCTCTTGCACACCCCCCTGTCTGCACACCCCGCTCTCCTGCCCCCGCTTCCCTCTCGCCATCCCGAGCCCTTCCTCCCCCTTTCCCCATAGCCCCACAGCCGGCACCCCCACTACATGCACCCCCACCACCGGCACCCCCACCACCGGCACCCCCAACGGCGGTCACGAGCAGGGCGAGGGAGGGCGGGGAGGAGGCGAGCAGCAGCAGGTCGAGGGAGCGCGCTGCCAGGCACAGCAGCAGCGCCGCTGCCCGCTGCTGCCACGAGAGACGGCACACAGGCAAGCGGGGGCCCACACAGGTCATAGGCTGTGACGCACAGGTCCCCACTACCCCCACTGCTTGATCCCCTTGCCCCGTGTCCCCTTCCCTCCCTTCCCCTGCAACCGCGTTCCTCACGTTCCCATCGCCTCCTGCCCTGGGCATCTCCCCGCTTCCCCCACTGTCGCCACCGTGACCAAGGCTGCCCCCCCCTGCACTGCTGGCCTGGCCTCTGTCACTGGCATCGACTGTGGCAGTGGCATGGGCGAGCCAGGAGCGCACGAGGGGGAGGGCGAGGATGGCGGAGAGGCGCGGCGAGGAGGAGGCGGCGAGGCGCACGAGGATGGACGCGGAGAGGCGAGCACAGCGCTGCCACAGGCACAATGGGCGGGGGGCCGTGGTACACGAGCAGCGGTGCAGCGAGGAAGATGCACGCACCTGCCCCTCCCTCTCCGCTGCGCCTTCCGCTCTTGGCCCTGCCCCCGCCTGCCTCGCCCTGCCCGCTGCCCTTCCCCGAGAGCCATCGCCCGGGCCAGCAGCAGCAGCGGTGGGCGAGGAGGGGGCGGAGCGAGGGCGAGGGAGGGGGTGTGCGTGCAGCAGGCGGGCGAGGGCAGGCAGAGACATGCGCGCGATGCGACTGGCTGCTGGCAGCGGGTCTGATGGGGGTGTGGGTAAGAGAAGACGGGGAGAGGGGAGAAGAACGGGGTGGGGTGAAGTAAGGTGATAAGAGTGGGAGACAGCATGGTGAAGGGGCGGGAGCGGAGCAGCATATACCCAGGCAGGAAAGGGGCGGAGGGAACCGTGAGTTGCGGCGCAAGGCTGAGCAACCGTGCACGAGGGGGAAAGGCACACATGGAGGGAAGGAGTGGAGGGCAGGGGTGGGAAGGGGGGTGGTACGGACCGAGAGTGAGGAGGTGGTGCATGGCGGTGAGAGCAGCGAGCACGAGGCGAGGGTGCGAGTGCGAGAGCATGCGATGCAGTGACGGCAGCATGGCCCCGTATGCGTCCACCACCCACCGCACCCCTGGGCTCTCCACCTCCCCTGCTGCTGCCGGCCCCCCTGCTGCGCCTCCCCCAACTGCTGCTCCCCCTGGTTTTCCCGCTCCATCCCGTGCTGCTGCTTCCCCCGCTGCTTCCCCTGCACCTGAGCGCACGCCCACTGCACACGCCTCCCTCTCCTCCTTCCCTCGCCCTGCTCCTCCTGCTGCCCTCTCCCTTGCGCCCTGCCCATCCACCCCCTCCTCCTGTTTCCCCCCTCCCATCTCCTCCCCCTTGCCCTCACCTCTGCTCTGCCCGCCCCACCCCTCGTGCCCGCGCCCATGGCCCCCTGCGCGCCCCTCTGCGCCCCCCCCAGCGCGCGTCCCCACTGGAAGCAGCCGCGGCCGCGAGTGACGCAGGGAGCGACAGAGGAGGAGGAGGAGCGACGCAGCAGCAGACTCGATGGCAGCGAGTGCAGCAGGGAAGCGTCTAGACACGTCATCCCACTCCCGCTCCTCGCCCCCTCCGCCCTCTCCGCCCTCTCCGCCCTCCACACCCTCCCCCCAGCATTCCCCGCACGCCAGCAGCGCAACCCAGTCGCCGCTGCCAGCCACGGCCACGGCCTTCGCCATCACCCGCGCTGCACTCTCATCCATCCCTCCCCGGCGCTTCCCCCCATCCGCTAGTCCCCCATCACCCTTCCCCCCATCCGCTAGTCCCACTTTGCCCTTCCCCCCATCCGCCAGGCCCCCCTCCCCCTCCGCCAGAGTACAACGAGCGACCGTCGCCCTGCTCGCACCCGCCGTGCCACCAATGGTCCGCGCGTCTCCCCCGCTGCGCCCACCATCCACTTCTCCCTTCCTCCCCTTCCCCTTCTCGCCGTGCCGAGCCTTCTTCCTGCCTCTCCTGCTTTTCCCTTCCGCCTTCTTCCCTCCCCCAATCTGCCCTTCAACGCTCTCCCCTTCCACGCCCTGCCCTTCCCCGCTCCGCGCGCCGTCCAGCCGCGAGTGTGCGGCGCGGAGGTCTTCCAGGCGGTCGCACAGCAGGCTCGCTGCATCTTCCAACCAATCGCTCGCTGACACGTGTCCGCATCTCTGCTGGTCAAGCGACGCAAGCAGCGAGCGGACGGCAGCGCGGAGTGCGTGGGAGGCGCGGACGTGTTTGGAATTCTGTGTTGCTTGGCCTGACGGAGAGGAACTCGCTGCCGACGGACCGACTGGCCTGACGGCCGGCGATGACATGCCCATGGCGACTGACGCGCGGACGGCCACCGGCGCGCGATTGACCCAAACGCGTGATTACGATGTTGTCAGAGATTAGCAGCAACGCAAAAAACGAGTCATACTAAATAGATCATGATTGGTATGGCTTTAGGGTTTTAGGGATGCACCCACACCATGGCATGGTTCTAGGGAGTGAGTTATCGCCCCGTGGCTACACAACTAGTGGTTATCTGGGTAGTGTACAAATATTCAAATGTACAAGTCTATGACACACTTCCTTCCAAACAGCAATGATTGTGAATGAGAGCATTGGATGCCGATGGTGAACGCTGCCCCCTGCAAGCCAAAGGTGCGCCCCTCTTTGCCTCGATGGCAGAAGAGTGTGTTGCACACGCATTTCACTGCATATGTACGGCAGCGGTGCCTTGTGGCCCAAGTGAACAACACATGCAGCGTGGCAGCATGAGAGGCGGAGGGCAGCGAATGGAGGCGGTCAATGGAAGGCCATCAGTGGAAGCCGATGATGCCTCGCTTCTCCCCCGTGCCCAGGCAGCGCGCACAGTAGCACCGCCCACTGCCCCTGCAGAACCAGCACCTGCCACAGGGAAGGGGGAGGGGAGTGGGGGTGGGGGGCGGGGGGGGGGGGGGGGGTGGAGGGGAGGGGGGGGGGGAGGGGAAAGGGTCACAGGCACAGAGATAGTTGGAATAGCAAGACCACTGCTCCTGCGGAAGCAGCAGTTGAGAGCACAGCCGTGCCAGCAGATGCAGCAGTTGAGAGCACAGCCGTGCCAGCAGATGCAGCAGTTGAGAGCACAGCCGTGCCAGCAGATGCAGCAGTTGAGAGCACAGCCGTGCCAGCAGATGCAGCAGTTGAGAGCACAGCCGTGCCAGCAGATGCAGCAGTTGAGAGCACAGCCGTGCCAGCAGATGCAGCAGTTGAGAGCACAGCCGTGCCAGCAGATGCAGCAGTTGAGAGCACAGCCGTGCCAGCAGATGCAGCAGTTGAGAGCACAGCCGTGCCAGCAGATGCAGCAGTTGAGAGCACAGCCGTGCCAGCAGATGCAGCAGTTGAGAGCACAGCCGTGCCAGCAGATGCAGCAGTTGAGAGCACAGCCGTGCCAGCAGATGCAGCAGTTGAGAGCACAGCCGTGCCAGCAGATGCAGCAGTTGAGAGCACAGCCGTGCCAGCAGATGCAGCAGTTGAGAGCACAGCCGTGCAAGCAGATGCAGCAGTTGAGAGCACAGCCGTGCCAGCAGATGCAGCAGTTGAGAGCATAGCCGTGCCAGCAGATGCAGTTACCAGCACTACAGTGTGTGGGGAGTTGCGTGAATGGTTGGGTGTGGGTGGCCGGGTGCTACTCAGGCGACTCAAAAGCAGTCAGGTGAAAAGGCAGAGGCTACAGCAGCAGCAGTGGTGTTGTGTGTGCATGCACGTGCCAATGAATCAACAAGAGCCTACCAGCGCGGCCAGGAGCCTACCAGCGCGGCCAGGAGCCGGTGGGGAGCATGACGAGGTCAACGTGGTTGGTGCGCCCTGGGGGCCACGGGCAGGCAAGGGGTGGAAGCAGCACGAGCGTTACTCATGCACCAGTGCACGCTTCGGGCAGGATAAGGAGGACAACATACAAACAAAGAAAACCAGACAAAGGGAACGCAGACAAACGATGGAGAGTAACGAGGAACGGAAGTGCAAGTGCAAGTGGTAATGTGAATGAAGGATCTTCAGTCGCTCAGATGCCATTTTTTGCCCCTCAATCGCCTGCATCATGTGCAGCACTCCCTTCCCTTCCCTTGTCGTCACTTGATTCTCCTCCCCCTCGCTCCTCCAAGCCCCGCCCCATTCCAGCCCCAACTGTCTACAGAGCTACCATCGCACTGCTTCCCATCAATCCTCTTCCTGTCCACGCCATGCTAAACCCCTCCTCCCCCCCTGTCCATCACGCCTCCCACCCTCCCCCACTTCCACCCCCACCCCCGAAGCACGCACGCCCCTCCACCATAGAATGGGGTGCGCCACTCGTCCGCCCTTCCCCCACTACCCACCTGCGCCCACTACCCACCTGCGCCCACTACCCACTTGCGCCCACTACCCACCTGCGCCCACCACTGCATCCACCCACACCATCACATCATCCACCATGCAACCTCTTCTGCGCCCACCATGCAACCTCTTCTGCGCCCACCATGCAACCTCTTCTGCGCCCACCATGCAACCTCTTCTGCGCCCACCATGCAACCTCTTCTGCGCCCACCATGCAACCTCTTCTGCGCCCACCATGCAACCTCTTCTGCGCCCACCATGCAACCTCTTCTGCGCCCACCATGCAACCTCTTCTGCGCCCACCATGCAACCTCTTCTGCGCCCACCATGCAACCTCTTCTGCGCCCACCATGCAACCTCTTCTGCGCCCACCATGCAACCTCTTCTGCGCCCACCATGCAACCTCTTCTGCGCCCACCATGCAACCTCTTCTGCGCCCACCATGCAACCTCTTCTGCGCCCACCATGCAACCTCTTCTGCGCCCACCATGCAACCTCTTCTGCGCCCACCATGCAACGCGCCCTTCCCAAACCCTCCACTCCGCTCCACCCCCCCCTTTCACCCCCGCCCCTCTTCCCCCCTCCCCTCCCCACCTCCCCCCCCCCCCCCCCCCCAAGCACACGCACCTCGGCCGCAGCAGCGGGTGCACTCCACGCGCCCACTCCCCCTGCAGTCGGGGCAGGGCGGGTCCGGGCGGGCACTAGTGGGGATGCCGCGCTGGGGGAGCGAAGAAAAAGGACAGGAAAAGGGGGAAGTGGAGAGGGGGGGGGGGGGGCGGGGGGGGGGGGGGGGGGGGAGAAGCCAAGCGGAAAGGATTTTGTACAGAAAAGGGGGTGGAGGCGAGAGGGCAGTTTGGCGTGCAGTGAGAGCAGGAGGGGCAGTGAAGGCAGGAGGGGTGGGGTCAGCACGATGGTGGGGGGGCTGAGGCACAGGACGGGATGGGGAGAGGAGGGGGAGGGCGGGCAAGGGAAGAGGGGAAGCGGGAGAAGAAGCGCGAGCAGAAGAGGGGGAGGCGGGGAAGGGGGGGGTGGAAATGAAGTGGTCGCTGGGGCGGGGAACAGGTAGCGCGGACGGGGAAGGGCGATGGGGTGAAGAGGGAGGCGGGAAGGCGGAAATGGGGCACTGCGTGGGGAGGTAGTGCGGTGGGAGAAGCGGGGAGAGGGCAGGGGAGAAGAATGCGAATGTGATCAAACGCCAGCAACCCTATCGCGTTCTCCGCCCACGTGGCATCCCATCTTCGTGGAACACATTTCGCGTTGCAAGGCGCACCGCTAGGCGTACTGCGTCTCAGGCTCACCGGCGTGTCGACCATCCAGCGGCCATCGCGGCGCCGGCGGCGGTCGTTGCTCCACGCCGTCGCGATCTCCTCCAGCAGCGACGGCCGCGCCTTCTCCGCCCGCCGCGGCGTCTTCACGGGCCGCTTCTTCCGCCGCCACGACTCGCGCTGCCACGTGGAGCCGATGAGCGACGGCCGCAGATCGCGCAGCGGATCCAGCGGGATTCCACCGTCGTCATCGGTGACCTCACCTCTCGCGTCATTTTTCATGCCGTCATTGTTAGTGTGGCGAACCGCATTCTCTCCTGAACTATCGGTACAAGTGCAGGGGTCGGTGCGAGCCTTGAACGACTCCGCTTTCAATGAGTCCGCCCTCGAGAGGGGGTCCGTGCGATTTACGGGGTCGGTTCGCCCCCCGATTCTGGCTTTGTCAAAGCCAGCGCGAGTCGGAGGGAGAGGTATTGGAGGTTGAGAGCACGCGACGTACGCGGCGCGAAGCGTTATGGTGAGAGACATGGGCAGAGGCTAGTGCGGCCGACGGGTTGTCTTCACCGACAGCCTTCTCCGCCGCTGCCAGCTCTGCTACAGCAGGGAGGACGACGGGGGGAGGCGCGACGAGGAAAGAGGAATCGCGACGAGGGGAGGCGCGACGAGGGGCGACGCGACGACAGGAGGGGAGGCGAGACCAGGGGAAGCGAGACGAAAGGAGGGAGGGCGCTACGAGGGAGGGAAGGCGGCGCGACGACTTGCGGCACGGCGAGGTACGAGAGCGGGCGCGGTGAGGTGGCGTCACGCACCCTCGCAACCACACGAGTAGCTTCTGAACAGGATTGCACAGATCTCTAGATCGTCAGTATTTTCTGCGGCGAATGCGCTCTCGAAGCTTTGGAAAAGTAGCTACTGCTTGGGTTAGGGCGTGTTCTTCTGTCGAAGTTCGAACGCAGGTACGACCGTACTAAGGTCAGGAAGGATGGTCCGGCACTGACGTACGGACCGAGCCTGGTCCAGACGCTAGTTGTGGAACATATACGTATTCAAATTGGTTCACATACAAGGTGACTGATATGAGTTGTAAAACAGAGTTGCGCGGAAAACGAATAACGAAGCTGTGACTCAATGAATTGTCGATACAAAGAAAGGCACGCGATTATATAGCGGGTCAACCTACTGTCAAAATACATTTGTATGTCTGTAGGCTATAGTAGGGTAGCCCATATAGGGGACAACCCTTTTAGGGTTGAATACTTGTATCCTTTCCATGCTACTCACACATCATTCATGTTTTCCTATCTTGACATGGTTTCAGAGTAGGTCCCTCTCAGAAAGTGAATGCAACGGAATGAATGAACTAGGCAGCAGTTGGATACAAATAGAAACCCTAAGTGGGTTATCCCCTCTAGAGAGCACCTCACTACAGCCTATAACAAATAATATCATTTGACACACCCCCATAGGCTAAGTGAGGGGCATCTAAGCAAGCAAGGTGAACAAACGGTCACAAGACCAGTTAAGACAAGAAGCAAAGCAAGCTCAGGGTGGATCTCAAGGACACCACACAAATTCCGAGCACAAGCAAGCGGCCACAAGGCCAGTTCAAGAGAGTACAATATATATAAGGGCAATCACAAACAGAACAAGCAACAAGAGTAACACTACAGCAAGCGAGAGCCTACCTCAACAAGCCCTAGCTGCACGCAAAACCTGTGGTGTCACCAGGCGCCAAGGCCTTGGTGAAGACGTCGGCAGTGTTGGCCACTGAGGCCACAAAGTCCAAGCGTGCCTGGCCGCGTCGCTGTAGCTCTCGCAGGAGAAAGTACCTCACGTCAATATGCTTCACTCTGCTCTCTGGTCGAGGCTCTCGACACAGGAGGATCATTGTCTTGTTGTCAGCGTACAAGGTCGGCGCAGAGCGAGGCCGCTCACCAAGGTCGACGAGCAAGAAGGTCAACCAGCGAAGCTCCTGTGCCGCCATGGCACCAGCGTAGATCTCTGCCTCTGCACTGGACGAAGCCACAGACGACGACCGTGTAGACCTCCACGACACAGCACCAGCACCCAGACTGAAGCAGTAACTTTGAGTCGAGCGCTGAGTCTCCACGTCGTCAGCGTAGGAAGAGTCACAGTGACCGGTCAACACAACTGGCTGAGTCCCTCGAAGCACAAGCCCCATGCCTGATGTAGTCGCCAGGTACTTCGCCACCCTCACAGCAGCTGTCCAATGGACAGGACGGTGTCTCCCAGTCGCAACAAAGCGAGAGATGACGCTGAGGGGGAAGGCGAGGTCCGGCCGAGTACAAGTCATCAGGTACATGAGGCAGCCCACCAGCTCTGCTTAGGGACCACTTGACTCAAAGGGCTCGTCAGGAAAGGGGCCAGTGAGTCTGTGGTCAACGGCAAGAGGAGTGGGCTGTGTGGTGGAGAACTGAAACTCGAACCGCCGAAGGACCTGCTGCACCATGTGTGACTGAGTCAGTGTGATGGTGCGAGCGGCTCTGTCCCTAGTGATCTGCAGGGCGAGGTAGCGCTGCAGTTCACCTAGGTCAGTGCACTTGTGTCTCTTCTGCAGTTCGGACTTCACCTGAGCCAGAGCTGCCCTGTCTGCTGTAGCAAAGACCAAGTCGTCGACGTAGACAAGGATGAAGAAAGGAGTAGAACCAGCACGAACAAACAGCGACGGGTCGGCAGACGACGGACGAAACCCAAGGTCACGAAGCGTGGAGCGAAGAGTGTCGTGCCACTCACGGGGCGACTGGCGGAGACCGTAGATTGGTCGCCTCAGGCTCCACTGGGTCCCAGGTGGGAAGGTGTCAGTGAAACCAGGAGGACGTCGCAGCCAGATCTCCTCGTGTAGGCGGCCCTGGAGAAACGCAGTGGAGAAGTCGAGGGAGTGCAGCTCGTAGTCTCGCTGCGCTGCTATGTGGAGTAACACCCGAAGAGTAGTCATCTTCGGGGTCGGGGCAAAGGTCTGGAAGAAGTCAACTCCCTCACGCTGACTGAAGCCCCTAGCCACGTAGCGCTCCTTGAATACCGGCGGTGATCCAGGTGGCCGCTTCACCTTGAAGAGCCACATGCCATCAACTACGTTCGCCCTGGGAGGGGGAACTGCGTCGACGTAAGTGTCTGTGGATCTCGAAGACGCTAACTCTGAGTCCATAGCCGCTTTCCACTGAGAGGCCCACTCCCCTGACACTGCCTCGCGGTAAGTGCGAGGAGTCGGTATGTCAAGGGCGTCGGGGTCTCCCTCAGGGGATAGCAGCATGGCACAGACAAAGGAAGAAGCGGCTGCCCAGTACTCCAGCTCAGACTCTCTGTCCTCTAAGACGTCACAGCCAAGGGAAAACTCACCCCCGACGGACAGAGGACGGGAGGGAGGAGCTGGCACCACACGGGTGGCGTAGTCAAGGCGGCTGGCGGCAGCAAACTCAGCGACAGCGGCAGTGAGAGCCGAGACAGACGCCGGAGGGAAACGAGAGTCGGTGACAAGAGTGGCGAGAACACTGGAGACAACAGGACGAATAGCACGGTAGTAGTCAGAGATAGGAGTAGGGGGGAACGGGAGAGAGGACGGAGGAGGAGACGGGAGAACGGACTCAGGAGGAGAACGACGAAGAGACGAACAAAGGAGGGCAGTGCGGAGGTCGGTAACGGGGGACGAGTGACGAGCACGCGAAGGACAGGGACGTACACGGGAGTGTGGGACAACCAGAGGAGGAGACGGGGACCTAGGAGACGACCAGACCACAAGAGAGTCGTCAGGAGGAGGAAACGTAGGACCAAAGGCAGGGGGGGACTGAGAGCGGACAGGAGAAGAGGAGGGAAGACCAAGGGCCCGCAGGCCACTCACTGGCGGGAACAACTGCCGCTCCAGTGGAAGCTGCTGCTGCCGCTGCTGCTGCTGCTGCTGCTGCTGCCGCTGCTGCTCCAACAGGTCCAACTGCCGCAGCTCCTGCCGCTCCCTCTCGAACAGCACCTTCTCCTCACGCGCACGCCGGCGGGCCGCCTGGAGACGCGTGTCGTGGCGGCGGGCATCTCAGAAAGTGAATGCAACGGAATGAATGAACTAGGCAGCAGTTGGATACAAATAGAAACCCTAAGTGGGTTATCCCCTCTAGAGGGCACCTCACTACAGCCTATGACAAATAATATCATTTGACAGTCCCGTTCTAGGACCAATTTTTTAGGGCCCACCGATTAGTTCCGTCCTGCCCGGCGTTCGTTTTTGCCCTGCCATGCCCGACGTTTTTGCCCTGCCCAGCACGCTGTTGCGCTGCTGTCCTGCCCTGCCTAACGCGCTATTACGCTGCCCTGCCCAAACCCGCGCGCTGTCGCGCTGTCATGCAATTCAGCGAACGAGCGAGAGTTGCACTATCGAAGCAAAACAGTCCAATGAGCGAAGGAGTGAGCGAACAATATATAGCGAAGCTAGCGTGGTAACGGTAACGCGAGAAAATGGGGTGCGCTACGGGCCTAGCGCCGAGGTTGGGAAATGTCGAGGCGGAGGTCCGGAGCGCGGGTTACCAACCGAACCGTGAGGTTGGGTCGCGTCGTGAACAGTGGCGGGAACAGTGGTCGAGGCGAGTGTCGCGAGCGGGTAACGTTTCACTGTTGGGTGCCGTTGGCGGGAACAGTCGTGTACGCGGTACGCAGGGGCACGAAGTAAGGAAAAGGATTTTTCCTTACACTACCCCCCTCCCCAAGGAGGCTCCTCTTACGAGAGTGCGTGTACATCCCGGAAATTACGGATGCGGAGATACTATGTGAGGACGGGGTGATTTTCAATTCTGTCCAGGGGCACCCAGTTGTCCTCAGTGGGCGTGCGATCCTTCCAGCGAATCAGGTTCTCGACCCTGCGAGCGCCACGTGGGTCACGAACTCGGTGGCTCAAGATTTTCTCGGGTATGATGACTGGCGCTGTTGGCGGTCGTGTCATGCTGGTGGGGCGGTTGCGAGGCAGTTGGCTGGTGGAGGGGACGTATGGGCGGAGTAGGCTGACGTGGAACGACGGGCTGACGTACCAGTCAGCAGGGAGGAGGAGGTGGGTGGTGACGGGTGTGATCATGTGGCTGCGGAATGGCCCACAAAATCGGGGGCGGAGTTTCGGGGTGGTACGATGAGCTGAACTGTAGTCGTGTGCCAAACTACTGCCTCCAGAAGTTGCTGGTGAACTTCGTGTCACGATCGCTAATGATTGCCGCTGGTATCCCGTGCAGTCGAACGACGGTGGAGATGGAGTGTCGGGCTGTTTCTTCGGCTGTGATTGTTTTTTTGCAATCTGCGAAATGTGCCATCTTCGTCAGCCGATCGACGACGACCAGGATCGCGTCGTTCCCACTTGCTCCGGCCGGTAACCCCGTGATGAAGTCCATCGTCACCTGCTGCCAAGCACGCTCTGGGGGTGGTATCGGCTGCAACTGTCCTGATGGTCGTTGTCGTGACGACTTCATGAGCTCGCAGGTGGGACACGATGCCACGTGTCGCTGCACGTCGGTCAGCATCTCGGGCCAGTAGTAATATTG